CCCAGGGTTTAATGAAGCTGAGAATGTTAATATGTAAGGCTTATTATGAACTTCCGAACATGCTTGGCATTGTACCAGTTACAGTCAGATGTTCTGTAGGGACCGGGATCCTCCTTGTGCATTGGTTGCCTAACCAAGTAGTTTATGGATGACTTAATTAGTCTTCCTCAGCCCTTAAGAAAGCACCCGCTGTTTTCTGTTTGGAGTTCTAAGCACATGCTTGCCAGGTGTTCCTTAATTTCAACAAACTGGGCAGTTCTGAGGAAGTCTGGATGTTTAATTATTTCCCAACTCGCTGCAGAAGCCAACATTAGACTCCATCTTAAGAGTAAAGGTTGGAGTGGGATGTGAGCTGGATATTGTCACAAACAGAGTCCAAAATTTCTTCCTGACCCTTATGGTCTTGGTAGGGCTTTCAGGAATATGGTCTCCTTCCTTTAAAGGGGTTGTCTTTGAGGATTTAATTTTCAATACTAGGAGTAAACCTACAGTTCTGTGTATGCTAGGCAGATGCTCTACTTTTGAGTCATATCCCCAGCCTAAGGGTTGTCTTAGTTCTGATTTCCAAGGACTAAATTTCTCTGACATATTATTCCAGAAAACACAGTGAGGGAGAAGGGAAGTAGGAGGGGGCGAAAGGAAAACAAAATAAAATGTGCATTAATGAATGAGTCACTAAGATATCTGAAGCACATAACGTACCTCAGAATTACCCCCATGGACAGAAAAGGAAATGAGAGTATTTCTCCTCCAATTTTCTCATTGGATGCAGCTTGCTCCTAAGCCATTAACTTTGTGACATTTCTAGCTTGTACTGTTTGTCAGCCAAAAGCTCACTCCCTCAGGCACAGAAACACATAGGATTGTGTAGGAATCATGTTCAACCTTTGGTGAATGGGTGGGGCACTGACTACATCTGAGTGAAGATTTGTGGTTCACAGTGGCCATTCCTTGGTCATATGACTGATTCTTGCTGAGTACTCACTCAGCCAGAGTCAATGAAAGATTTTTCTGAGCTTTTTATATATGTATCCTTTTTCTGGGAGACAAGATATAATGTGGGCTGGAGCCGCTCTCTCTGGATCAGTCAGTTTGGTATCTTGTAGTGATGCTCAGAAAAGAGTCTTGGGCAGGAGAAAGAAATTTAGGAACTTAGAAGGAATAACAGATTGTACTGGATAGCTTTAGTTGTTGATGTGACACACCTGGGAAGAGGTAACCTCAACCGGGGAATTGTTCCTATTGGATTGGCCTTGTAGACCTAATGTCTGTGGGGCATTTTCTTGATTGTGGATTGATGTGGCAGTATCATTCCTGGGCAGGTGATCCTGCATTGTATAAGAAAGCAGGCTGGGTGCTGAAGAGATGGCTCAGTGGTTAAGAGCACTGGATGCTCTTGCAGAGGACCCAGGTTCTGTTCCCAGCACCCACATGACAACTAACAACTGTCCATAACTCTAGTTCCAGGAGATCTGAAGCCCTCTTCTGACCTCTGAGGGTACTGCATGACATAGGTATACTTACCTACATGCAAGCAATACACTCATACACCTAGAATAAAAACAATAAAATATTTTTTAAAAAGAAAGGCTGAACACAGGACAGAGGAATCCGGTAAGCAGCATTCCTCCATGTTCTTCTGTGCTTCAGCTCCTGCTTCTGGGTTCCAGCCCTGAGTTCTTGCCTGATTTCCTTCAAATATGAACTGTGCCTTGTAAGAGTAAGATGAAATAAACCTTTTCCTCCCCAAGTTGGCTTCTGTCAGTATTTTTGTCACGGCAATTGAAGGCAAACTAAGACAAAGACCCTGTATAGACTGTCAACAGAATTATCTCACTGGTCTCACCTACAGGAAATTATCAAATAGAAAAGTGATGTAGGGACAAAATCTTCACTTTTGAGTGTTGCTGCCATAATGAAAAGTGGGCTTCAACACTTGAAACTGTCCATGCCATTTTTCCTTACTTGAGTACAGAGTTACAAATATATGAGAATGTTTATCTCTGACACCGGTAGCCCTTCCTTTTTTTTTTTTTTTTTTTAAAGTTTTTTTTTAGGGCTGGAGAGATGCTCAGTGGTTAAGAGCACTTCCTGCCCTGCCTTCAGTTCCTAGCACCTACACAGCAGCTAACAACTGTCCTTAACGACTATTCCAGGGGATGCAATGCCCTCTTCTGGCCTCTGCAAACATGTGGTGTACTTACTTATATGCATAAAATACAAATAAAACAACAAAACAATATTCTATCCATTCACATGGATGAAGACCCTATAACTGTTCATTGTGCATTTTTCTACTTGCCTATTATACTTTGTGGTGGAAAAAGTTAAAATAAAAAAGAGTCAAAAGTCAGGGATGGTGGGACATGCTTTTAATTCCAGGAGGCAGAAGCAGGTGGATCTCTGTGTTTGAGGCCAGCTTGGTTTACATAGAGTTCCAGGCCAGCCAGGGCTATACAGTAAGAGAGAGGAGAGAGGAGAGAGGGGAGAGAGAGAGAGGGATACTGCGGCATGAACAAACATGGAGACATGGAGAGAGAGAGAGAGAGAGAGAGAGAGAGAGAGAGAGAGAGAAATGTAGAGCTGGTTCTTCAGTGGTAAAATGACTTGCTATACACATACACTAATACATATAATAACAATGATAAATTTAAATATTTAATTTTAAAGAACTTTGTTAACTAACATTATTCTTTATTCTTATTAAAAGTGGTCATTTGGTGGTCAAAGGCGGAGGAGATTACAGGTAGGATGTAAGGAGGAGAAAGAAGTTGCCTTCTGAGATGAAGAAGGATAAAGAGATTGTTAGCCTGATCCTCATTCAACTTGCCTGAATGTGTAGTATTGCAAAAGCCAGTTCCTGGCTATTCTACTATTGTTCTATAATGCTACTTGTAGTTAAATTACAATATTTATCTTCCTACCTGGCTGTCCCAATTTTCTGCATTTATCTCAACATTCTAATTTACCTAAAAAATAGCCTCTATTTATTATTTTTTTTGGTGATATGGGAGATCGGCCTGTATCATCTCATTATGAAAAATAATTTTACAAAATAACGGTGTATTATAGTGAGCATTACACTCAATCTCATTTCAAATTCTCTCAGGGTGTTTATTGATGATATATTTTTACAGTTGTGGACAGGATCCATATACTAATCTTCATCTTATTTTCCTACACTTATTTTTCACTTTGAGTTCACCTATTTGTTGTAGTAGGCAGCTACAAAGTATTTTATCTTAATTATCTATGTTGAACCTTTCTGATTTAGCTGATTCTAACAGGAATCAGTTACAGGAAGCACAGTTTCTCTACAAGTCAATATGGACTAGCTGTTTCACATCTTCTTCAAAATTACACTCTGCTATTTGTACTAAAACAAAGTTCATGAAATGGAGTCTAAGTCCTCTCAAGTCCCAAATCCTTTTTTTTTTTTTTTTTTTTTTTTTTTTTTTTGAGACAGGTGTTGTGAAGCCCAGGCTGGCCTCAAACTCCCTATGCAGCTGAAGATAGCTTTGAATTCCTGATCCTGCCTTTACCTTCCTAGTGTTGAAGGTAAACAAGAGTATGTCACCATATCCAGCTCCCACAATATTTTAATAAGGTATTTTTTAACTTTAAATTTTTTAAGTGCATGTTTCACCTGCATGTATGTAGTTGCACCAATATGTGCAATGCCTACAGAGGCTGGAAGAGGGAATTGGATCGCCTGGAACTGGAGTTACTAAAGGTCGTTAGCTGCCATGTAAGTGCTGGAACTGAGGCCCTCTGCAGTGCTTTTAACCACTAACGCCTCTCTCCAGACCCCTCACCTCTCAATCTTTACCATAGTCATACAAAGTAGGGGCTGGTGAGATGGCTCAGTGGTGGGGTACTTGCCATCAAGCTTGTCAGCCTAAGTTCTATACCTAAAGCCCATATAGTGGAAAGAAAGAACCAACTTCCACAGGTTGTCCTCTGACCTCCATACATGTGTGCTGTGCATGCTCCTACAAGCATACATATATATGAGGCAAACAGATAAATACTTGTGGGGGGAAAATATTAGACACAGCAAGATGGCTCAACAAGTAAGGGTGGTTTCCGTGAAAGCCTGATGACTTGAGTTTGATACCAGGAACCCACAGTGGAAGGATCTGATTCCTGAAAATTGTGCTCTGACCTCCACATGTGTGCCATGGCATGCATGTACTGCACTCTCATACACATACATCATGCACACAACACAGTAACAAATAAATGTTTAGAAAGATTAACCATCACAAGTTCAGGTAAACATTGCCTCCATCTTGGACACACAAAGGATGCTGCCTCTTGGTTTGTTCTCTTTGCAATGATCTCATCATTTAGACTAGAAATCCTATCCTTTGGTCCAACGACAGGAAGCTGGTCAAAAGAAGTCAACATTTTTTCAATGTATGGCTTTGCAAAAGTCTTTTGCTATTTCTGATGCACACAGTTGTTGCTTAATGTTGTTTTAAAGCCTTATTGGATAGGGCACTAGATAATGAGAATATGGGACCATGTCTAGCTAGGCCTTCGAATTGTCTTATGCAAACAAATTCCCTTCTGAAATATTATTACAGTATTATAGCTCAGTGACAGAGCTCTGGTTGAGCACGTAATAAGGCCCTGGGTGTGATACTCAGCAACGCAAAACCGTTACAAAAGTTAGAGCGCATCCCTAGTATGGTCAACTTGGTGCCAGTATGCACGGTCATAGTCTTCCCACCCGCTGCAATCCCACCAGAGGGCGCTCCTCCCTCGTAGATATAGTCCTGTCTTCCATAAGTGTCAGAAAATTCAGGTTAAAGTTGACGTTGTCAGGAAGTCATTTAATGCACAAACACTTGGCAAGAGTTTACTTTGCCGTCAATCTAGGGAACAGATTGCCAAAATACAGTGGCGAGTTAGGCATGATTCCTACTACGAGGTTTAAAATTTTGCAAAGACAAAGTAAACACCGGCTACGATAAACTGGAATGACAGTATCTAGGTCCGTGGATTGGTTATTTTATTTAATGACTTCAAGCCTCGGAAGCTCAAAGCTATTAAGAGCTCCCTGACGGCTCCGGCTCGGTATCTCCGCCCCCACAGCGTTGTGTCATCACAGCTCGGTCGGTGGCTCCGTTCCTCCGATAGGCAGGACCTACCCCGGCCTTATCCTGGACATCCTGCAATTCTGTTCATTTCACCTGTCCTTCAAGCCAAGGATTACCTACAACCATCACAGAGAATGCCAGCGCCGTTTCCTTTCCGGTGCAAAACCCAAGTACTTTTCCTTTTGAATACCTACGTTTCCCATTCTGATTCTCGCGACAGTTCCGAAACCTCGCGTGAAGTTCGCTTCTCGTTCCTTCGGCGTCGGAGACTGAGACGATCGTATCCTGCTCTCGTGCACCCCCGTCAGAACCCCGGCGGCATCGGAGCTGTTCGAGAACTGCCAGAAGGGCTAGGCCGACTTCAGACGAACTCTTGCAGAGTCCCAGGCAGTCTCGGAGAGCGCGACCTTGCAGGCCCAGTGCGCAGGCGCGGCCAAGGGTGCGTACTGGGCGGAGCCTGGCTAGGTCCCGCCCCCTCCCTTGCTGGTCGACCGCCGGCGTTTCCGTCCCTAAGAACTTGATGGACGTGGCTTGTGGCAAGCCGGGGTGGGGCCTGGCCTACTGGAGTTTAGTGGGCGGGCCTCCAGGGATGCTCTCTTCCCTGCCCCCAGCCCAAGTGCCACGGTGGCGTGGGTAGCTGTCTCCAGGCAAAACGTTTTGGTTCCGACATTCTCAAATTTGTAACCTGTAATCCGGACCCGAACGACACCCTACGGGGAGGCGCTGGTCGGCCTCTCTGCGGCTACTAGTCAGTTCCGATCCCTCATCACTGTGCTCATCCGTGGGTTGAAGCACCTTCCTTAATAGCTGAATGTGGGATGGCAGATGGAAACGCCTAGACTGGTCCATACCTCGATGGAGAAACTGGGTGGGCCAGGCTGCAACTGTCCTGACGGAAGCCCCCCCTGGGCCTGAGAGGAGAGGCTGTTGGCTCACCCTGCCCACCAGCGTAATAATTTCTTGGCACCAGAACTCCTTCCTTCTTCCCATCCTGCAGCTGTTCTGCAGCTCCGAGGAACTGTAAAGTCAGATGAGACGGGACCTAGCCGTTCGGCCAACACTTGGAGCTCTCTAGCCATCCATCCCTCTACCCGATTCTTCAGCTCCAGTCCTCACACTCTTCCTTTCCCAGCTTCGGTGTCTGATTTACGGCTGCTCTGTGCTTCATTGTGACTTTGGGCCAGGGTGGATGTCAATGACCCTCGGAGGGTCTCCTTGCGGCTGTATAGAATTACCTGCTTCCGAACCTGGGAGGAAGGCAGGTATGCGACGTTGAGGGGCGGGGACAGGGGGCGGAGGAGATGCTCTCTGAATCCTAGTCTGTGGACTCTTCGGTGGTAGGCGGTACCCGGTCAAGAGCCGAGGTGGCCAGTGAGTCCAGCTAGCTCTGCGTGCGGCTCTCTTTTTTCGTTCCCCTGCTGGCTGTTTGGCATTGGAAATCACAGCTGCTAGAAGGGACTAGTCCAAGGCACTAGGTGAGTTTCCCCGCTTCAGATCACATGGAAGGAGGAAACCCACCTCTCCATCATCACACATTCTACCCTGAACTTCTTACTTCGGGTGCCATCCATTTCCATCCATCTCTGGGGCAAAGGTGCATCAGAATTGGGTGGTTTATGTAACTGTTACTGGTGGTGGTGATGGTGGTGGTGGTGTGTGTGTTTGTGTGTGCACCGCGAGAACATGCTTTATCGCCTCTCCACTGCCCAGCCCTCCAAGAACAGCTCAATCAATTGTCTACTGGCATAATTGGTTAACCCCTAGGGAGTCACCAGGCCTCTGTGCTGGGGCCTCTGGTTTGCACCAACATAGCAGGGGACCGGGGCAGCGCTAGAGTCAAGCTTTGGTTCCAGGAGCTGTGAGACTGGTCTTTCAGCATTGACATTATTTCTGACCTCCAGTCCTGGCTTCCTTCCCTGGCAGGGTGCCACCTACGTGCTGATGCCCCGAGTGCTCACAGGGCTTCCAGCTAACCATGCTGCAGCTGCCTGGGCGCTGCCCCTGCTACTACTACTACTGCTGGTGGTGTGGACCCCACCCTTGACTAGCGCGAGGCCGTCCACAGGTCCGGATTACTTGCGGCGAGGCTGGCTGCGGCTACTAGCTGAGGGCGAGGGTTGTGCTCCCTGCCGACCGGAAGAGTGCGCGGCGCCGCGGGGCTGCCTGGCTGGCCGGGTGCGCGATGCGTGCGGCTGCTGCTGGGAATGCGCCAACCTGGAGGGCCAGCTCTGCGACCTGGACCCCAGCACTCACTTCTACGGGCGTTGCGGTGAGCAGCTTGAGTGCCGGCTAGACACGGGCGGCGAGCTGAACCAAGGAGAGGTGCCGGAGCCGCTCTGTGCCTGCCGCTCGAAGCGCCCGCTGTGTGGTTCCGACGGCCGTACCTACGACCAGATCTGTCGCCTGCAGGAGGCGGCCCGCGCTCGGCCTGACGCCAACCTCACTGTGGTGCACCCAGGGCCCTGTGAATCCGGTATGCAAGGCTCAGGGCTCTTACTCTCAGGACTCGGGCTTCCTAAAGGCGTTGGCTCCCGGATCCCCGACAGCATTGATTTCTGGTCAGCAGAGTGAAAATGTGAGGCTGTGGTCTCAGGTCCTCAGAGGCTTTTGACTTAAAATGCAGGTGGAGATCTGTTGACAGGAAATTTGTTTAATGTGCTGAGCTGTCTGAAAGCCCTATCCATCCTAGCAGGGACCAACCCTCTGAGGGAACAGGCACATAGCCAATAGCTGGGTCAAAATAGAAAAGACCCCCCAAGACTATGCAGACCGCTGAAGCACAGGCAGAGGGGTTCCTATGAGATGCAGTCCGTTAACCCAGGCTCCAAGGCTCCAGCCTGGTTCTTTCTCCTGCATTTAGGGATTAGTGAACTGCAGAGATTCCCCCACCCCCACCCCCACCCCCAATCCTTGGGGATCCGGGCTATTTAAGCCGGAGGTTTTCTTTGGTTGGCTTTCACTTCCTCAGCCCTACCTATTCCGGGTCTGGCTAGGCTGCTGTGAAAACAAACTCCCTAGTAGGAGGGTCCCGACAATTTCCCCCAGTCCTCCAGTCTTCCCTCCTACATAGTGGTTTCAGGTTCTCCTGCTTTGCCAGCAGTTCCACCTCCACCCCTCAGCGCCCAGAGGGTGTCACATTCTCAGGACACTTGGAATGTCGGCGCTCTTCAGGCCTTTGGGAAGCCAGCCTAGTTAGAAAAGGGGGAAGGGGGGAAGGAGGGAGGGATGTGTTGGCTACAAGCACAGCAGGAAAGGGGCCCCAGGGTGGAATGAGGACAGGGGAGCATCCCAGGGCAGAGTTTCGCCGCCCAGCTAAGATGTGGGTCTGTATGGTTGGTTATGCAATTTGCACACTGCTCTCTGTGTGCCTGTGCCTGTGTATCTCTGTACCTGGGTTTGTATGCTTGTGTATATGCATCTGCATCTGCATTTGTGTGTATCTGTTTGTGTCTTGTTTCTTTACTGATGTGTATTAACCTCCACATGTATTGTGTTCTGCCCCCCAAATGTCCACAATAATGTATAAATTGTGTTCTTGCTGGGCTGGATACACCATCCTGTTCTCAGGCCTCCACCTCCACTCCCCAGAGCCCCAGATCGTGTCACAGCCCCACAACATTTGGAATGTGACTGGACAGGATGTGATCTTTGGTTGTGAGGTGTTTGCCTACCCCATGGCTTCCATCGAGTGGAGGAAGGACGGCTTGGACATCCAGCTGCCAGGGGATGACCCCCACATCTCTGTGCAGGTAGGAACAGGGAGCAGAAGCATATTCCTGGGAAATCTGAGGCTTCTCAGAATGACCTTACTGACTCCACATGTGGCTCCAGTTTAGGGGTGGACCTCAGAGGTTTGAGGTGACTGGCTGGCTTCAAATCCAGGCTTTGCGTCCCAGTGATGAGGGCACCTACCGCTGCCTTGCCCGGAATGCCCTGGGCCAGGTTGAGGCCTCTGCTACCCTGACAGTGGTCACACCAGGTAAGTAGGAGCCCTGATCTCTGGGGGCCCAGAGGATGTGCTGCATTAGTACCCTTAAATGTGTTTAAGGAACAGTTCACATGTGAATGTGCATGCGAGTGCACACATAAGCATAGCCTTCCCACATACTAGGGTATGTAGGCATCATCAGTTTCTCTTCCCTGATTGGTTTTCTTTGCCCATTGTGTTTGCAGACCAGCTGAACTCCACAGGCATCTCCCAGCTGCAATCCTTGAACCTGGTTCCTGAGGATGAGGCAGAAAGTGAAGAGGATTACTACTAAGTCCAGAGCTCTGGTTCATGGGGGTGGGTGAGTGGGATTGTATCCATCCCTTCTTTTGAGAAGACTTGGAGAGGGCAAGCAGGATCCTTCAATGGATGGCTTTAATGTTCTTTATTGCCTCAGTTTACCTTTCCTCAAAATTCATATACCAGAAGTTTTCCACCTCACCCAGTTCCCAGAAGCACTTACTGACCACAAAGCTTTTTTTTTTTTTTTTTTTTTTGGTCTTTTTTTGAGACAGGGTCTCCCTGTAGCCCCAGCTGTTCTGGAACTCACGTTGTAGACCAGGCTGGCCTCGAACTCAAGAGATCCGCCTGCCTCTGCCTCCCGAGTGCTGAGATTAAAGGCATGTGCCACCACACCTGTCTAATCCCTTTTGCTTTTGACCATCTGTTGCAGAGTCGAGCACAGTGGAACTGTTTTAGTTCAGTACGGTGAGATGGGTGGGGGTCAATGTCCAGTCTTATACCACTCTAGTAGACAAAGCCTACCTAGTACAAAACTAGGTACAGTAGGCACTGATAAAAATTTATAAACAAACCGATCCACACAGCTGCAGATGGTTCTTGCAGATGTGCATATGGAAACCAGATATCCCTGGGTGGCCTCCCTCTCAAACAGAACTCTACTTCTAGTAGCTTCAAGTCCTTAAGTACATGCCTGCTGTGTTTGAGAAGCCTTGAGCTCAGGCCTCCACAGCCCTCTCCCATCTTCTAGGAGGGAGCCTAATAAATCTGATCGGAGGGAGTTTGTCCCAATATTCTGTCCCCTGGGGCTGGTATATCAATAGATTACTCGGCTCTCAGTTCATCTTACTCTCCTCTCCCCAAGCAGAGTGGGGAATCAGGTCTATGTGGGTGGGACCCCAATATGAATGAATAAACTGAGTGGAGGAGGGAAGTTGGGCCACCTGTGTTAGCCATACCCAATACTCTTTCCCTGCTCCCATAAGAACCTTCCTGTTTCCTAGTTGAACCCAAAGTCATAGTAACCCTGTTTCCAACTGCCCCTGTTGTGATGTGTCTTATCTGACTTAGGGTCCTTCACAGAACCACAGTGTAGCTCAGGTCTCTCCTTATAGTTGCCTTACCTAGCCCAGGGATACTGAGAAGGTTATGGAATGATGGAAAGAGAGAATGAAAGAGTTAGTCATCAGGCCAAAATGCTGTGTGTGGTGCCTCCCACGCGCCTGGACTCCGCCCTGGAGCTGGCGCCACAGCGGGAGGGACCCGAACGCTTTAGGCTCAGCGTCGGCATTTGTGTTTTGGGACCCATCATCACAGGCGGCTGGGCCTCTTGAGAGGGGCGTGTTCACGAACTGCGTCCCCAGGGCTTGGTCGGTCACCCCCTCTCACGTGTGTGCACTGCTTCTCTATCTCCCTCTGCCCTGCTGAGGACCACCATTCCAGAGCACAGCTCTCATTGTCATAATCCAGTAGCTGCATTCAAGTGCCGGAGCCGGAGCCGAGTACTTGCAGAGAATTGCGAGGCGGAAACGGGAGCAGGGTGGGAGGGTATGGGCTGAGAGGGATGGGGTGGGGAGGTGTTGGCTGAACCGGATGGGGTGGGAAGGTGTGGGCTAAGCGGGATGGGGGGGGCGTTCAGCTGAGCCCACTGAAGAAGGTCCGCTCCACCCAGTAAGAGGGGACCTGGTCGGGGTCCGAGCGTCCACGCAAGCTCATCCTCTGCCCTGCAGACTCTAAGGCGCCCCCTATGGGCTTATCGGTCAGAGCCGGCACGCCTAGAGAGCACCTCCAGTGCAGAGACTTCGTGCAAACCTCGGTGACCCGAAAAGGTCTCCACACGAGAAATCGGTATTCCTCAAAGGCGTCTGCACTCTGTAAGCTGTTCCAGAACCACCTTGAAACCTCGGTTTTCGGCTCCGACCCCTGACGTTTGGGGCCCGCCACCTGGAGTGGAAGAAACCCCTGCTGCACCGCTTCCACCCTCCCTGCACCCCGCCTCTGCTGCAGCGGACGCGGTTTAATAATGTCGCTGGAAAGTGACACGCGATTTATTATTAAAGTAATGCGGGCGCGGGGACGGGAAAGGTTTAATAAACGCGCCGAGATGCCGAGGATTATTCACCGCAAATAAATGAGAGTGCGGGCGGTGTTTTAATAAATAATTTCGCGCTGCTCCCGAGGGAGGAGAGGGGAGGAGGACCGGGAAGCGGAGTGGCTGCTGGCGCTCCCGGCTTCCCATCCCTACGGGTTTCTAAACCTTCTTAGACTTCTCACACCGAGGTGAGCGGTTCTAGGAGAGCCTAACCTCGTAGCCCAGGCCTAGAGGTGCGATGCGCTCTGTGCCTCTACTATGCGGCACCTCTGGGACTGTCAAGTAGTTTGCATAAGATGTAGCAAATGAACTTCTATTTGCTCCGACTCTCGGAGATTGGGGGTCAGGGAGTCAGGGCCAACAGGATTAATCCTCACCCCTTCCCAAAGGGATTAGTACTAGCCTCAGGCCTTCGGGCTGGCCTGTTCTTCTTGCTTGGGCTGACATGGGTCTGTTTCTCCTCCATTCAGGACAGGATGTAACCAAACCAGACTGTACGTACAGGTATGTGTGCACGTGGGTGCAAAAGGCACCCCCTCTATCATGCTCTTCTGGCTACTTCTGCTTAGGAACACTCTACGAGTCAGTAGCACTGGTCAGAATTAATGGTGAGGCTTAACAAAATCACACGCCTCCACCCCCGACCCCCAAGCGAGTCAATTTGAGGACTGGGCCGGACTGGACCCCAGGAGGAGTCTGTCCATTCAATAGAAGCCTGGAGGCCTGAGACGAGAGGATGACCTTGGCTTCGAAGAGGACAAGACTGCAGACTTTGGAGGCCACGGACATGTTCACAGTGCTGCTGGTGGTGATAGGGACTGAACCGATACACCTGAAAATTTTATGGAAATTTAGTGGGAAAAAGACTTCTCTGGCAATATTTATTATACAGGAAATGGGAAAGGGTGCCATCTAGTGGTTATTTCTGGTAGTGGCAAATAGGCTTGAGCCATGGGGCCTTGAGAGCTTTTACTTGGTTGGAAATATTCGTGTAAAAAGATACTTCAGTTTGTATTCGTGAGCATAGATGAATGTGCATAAGTGTGTAGTATACACGTTATGTCTGTGTAATAAGTAACAATGTTTATAGAGGTTCTATGCATATGTAAATCCACTTTATGTAAGCTGTATGTGAGCTGTATGTATAGATGAATGTATGTCATATGAATGTTATGTATGTGGATCATCTAAATACATACATGGCTGAAAGTGGTGGCTTACACATGTAATCCTGGAACTGTGGAGATTGAGGCAGGAGGATTGCCATAAATTTGAGGCCAGCCTGAGCTACATAGTAAGTTCCAGGCTAACCTGAATGACAAAGTGAGGCCCTGTCTCAAAAACCAAAAATAAATAAATAAGACAGTATAAAATATGGATAACATGGAGATGTATATGCAAGTCTGTGTACATGGGCATGGTATACATGGCCCTATTATTGTGTATAATACATTTATTTGCAAATATGTGCTTATTGTGTGTATTCTTTCTACAAACATCTGTTATATACCAGCACTATTGCAGGGTTGGGACTGTATCATGGGGAAAAAACAGTCAGTGCCTCATGGAGCTTGCATTCTAGTCTAAGATGTATGTGAATATTTGTATATATACACTAATTAGACTTGTTGTATTTATGTGCACTTGTACATGTACCTGTCTGCATGTATACATGTGAAGGAAACACAGGTTCCCCTATGGTGGGCTGAAAAAAAATCTCTGGATTCTCACTCAAAAATGCAGGTCTTGACTGGTGAGATGGATCAGGAGGTAAAGGTGCTACACCAAGCTTGACAGCTTGAGTTTGATCCCCAGAACCCATGTAAAGATAGGAGAGAACCAATTCCACAAAGTTATCCCCTGACCTCCACACATGTAGCACATGCTGCCACCTACATACATCATGCATGTGTGTTCGGGCACGCATGCACACACCCACAGACACAGACACACACACCAATAATAAATAAGTTCATTTTAAAAACACAGATCCTGTCACCTAGAACTCTATTCTGGGTGTGCAGACAGCAGATGGAAAAGAGAAGGAGGATGAAGACAGGCTGCATAGGATGTATTTTAAATGTTTCCTTGGCTTGCTGGATGATTAAATTATTTCTTAACAAGGAGAAGCTGTGGAAGTCCATTTATGATAAAAGTCAATGCAGATCAACTCTTAACTTCTCAAAGCAAAGCCCCTTTGAGGAAGAATCATGGGCAGGGGTGGGTGTGGAACAGTGTTGGAGGTCACTTAGAGACTAGTAGGGATCAGATCTGAGAGGTATTAAGCTCTGGGAGTCAGTTGCAGATAAGTGGGAGGACAGACCTGGGGAGGGATGGGGTTGTGGGATCAAGAAAGGCCTGAGAGGAGAAATGAGGCCAGGACCAAGGATGCAGTTGAGGTGGGGTTGCGGGGGACCAGACAGATGAGACTGTAGTGGTAGGGATATATTAGCATTGAATAGAGCCTGGAAACCAGCTCAGACAAGTCACCCCCTTCTTTCCATCCCTTCCTTTCCTTGTGTTGGGGTCCTAACCCTCTCTATCCTTTTCTGTGCTTAAGCTGGGTCCCAGATGTGCTGGGAGCAGAAGCAGAGAGCTTAAGGTTTCAGGGTTTGGCCTAGCTTAGGTGACTCAGTGGTATGTGGGGTGGGGCAGACTCACAACATCAGTGTCCCATGAAACATTGTACCCAGCTGCTATTATAGTTTCTAGTCTGAGCTCAATCCAGGCATTCAAAATATGGGTGGGACATGGACCTGGAATAGAACAGCACCTCCATAGGCATACTCCCACCGTTGAATGAGGGAAGATGTACCCTAGTCATTTCTACCTTCATCCACTCTTTTGCTTCAAGGATACTGTCTTCAGACCCCCAAAAAATCTGTAGTAACCCTCAGACATGCTGGACTACTTTACCCTAAACCAGACTTTCTGTCTCCTCATTGCCTTTCCCCCCTTCAGTCCCTTTTCTTCCTAGGGTTGAGATCTTAGATGGGCTTTGTCCTCAAAGTTCAGGAAGGGCCACAGATGCAGGCTGGGTCTTGACCTAGATTTATTTTTGCCATTTTCTCTGCCATCTGGGCAACTCAAATCTCTCTGCACAGAGTGATCAGTTATAAAACACCAGTTTTAGGGTCAAGTGTATCCCATTACCCAGTCTCATCCCGTCTACTGAG